CATTTGCTCTGACGATGATGGAAAGACATTCTGCTCAAATGATTCTTAGTGAATTGGAAGATCATAATAATCTTTTTTAAAATGAACACTACAGTGGCTGAGCATATTTGTTTCTTAACTAGCCTGCTAGTCTGCCAATAAACCAATGTGGGCATTGCTACAGGGTTCCCATCAGGGAGTAACTAAGCGTGTTGCTCACTGAGTCACATTCTCCTTGCCTCAGATACTGTCTAGAAGTAAACATCTTTGTAAGCCAAAATTAACTCCTTCAGGTTATTAGGGAGCTTGTGGTGTGTTGCAGTCTGTTTTGCCAACTGAAGAAAAAAACCTATTTGCACTGGTAATATTCAGACTAACCGGTGATGAACTAGAAGACAGTAAAATATGAAGTAGGACTTAGACTGTAAAAGTTTCTGCTTAGATCCACAGTGTATTAATTTTGAAGAAGAAACTAAAAATCTCAAATATAATCAGAAGCAAAGGGGTTGAGAATGGTGGTTTTTCAGTGTGAAAGTCCTAATCCTTTGCTCTTATTTATACAGCAAATGCAGCTAAATCCTTTGAAAAATACTTCAGAGATAACTAAGAATGTTCACTTGAAGGTAAAATTGTTTAGAGGTGGATTCTGGAATTGAGGGCTGGCATATAAAAGGTTATATTAGAAAGATTCTGAATTCCGAAGTAGAAATCAGTCTGCACTCCCAAATCTATTTTCTTGACAGTAAACATACTTCTCAGGAGAGCAGTTTAGTTCTTCAGAACATACAGTGCCCAACAATAGAAGAATCCAGTCAAAACAACTTCAGCTGCCCCTGAGACTTGTAAATGAATGGTGTTCGGTATATGTTGTGTCTGTGTTACACTTAGAGTGTCTGAATGGTGTTTTCTTGTAAAGTTGAGAGTCAGGTCCAAACTGACAGATATATTGTAATTTATACCAAATAGATTCATAAGTTAAATCATGTGAGCCTTACCTTTTATGCTTCATCTTTTCCCAATTTTCTATTTATAATCAGAGTTTGCTTTTCCCATTATAAATGAAACCTTGTAATAAGAGAAACCAAAGATTTGGAAAACTGTAAAGAAGGCAAAAGCAAACCCACCCAAAGTCCCAGCATCCAGAGCAGTGTGACCTGTTACTGGTATTGTTACTTAATTTTTTGCCAAGTTCTTAACATATGCATTTTTTGATTCTGTATATACTATTTATATCTGGTTTCACATTTTAACCTTTTTTTTCTTTTTTTAAAGATTTTATTTATTTATTTTACAGAGAGAGATCACAAGTAGACAGGCAGGCAGAGAGAGAGAGGGAAGCAGGCTCCCTGCTGAGCAGAGAGCCCGATGCAGGACTCGATCTTAGGACTCTGAGATCAGGACCTGAGCTGAAGGCAGCGGCTTAACCCACTGAGCCACCCAGGCACCCACATTTTAACCTTTTAAACATAAGCTTTTTTCAAGCAATTGACAAATCTTTAGATACATTTTAATGATTACATAATGATATACAATTTGCTTAGTTATTCAGCTAAGGAACACTTAGTTTGTTTCCATTTTTCCCCCCTCACAACTGTCAGTCAGGTGGCAGTGAATGTCTTTGTTCTTTACCCCTCCTTGGCTTCTAGCTGAGAATGCATTCTGGTAGTAACACCCTTCTGCTTCTGTTTTAGTAAAGATGTTTACAATGTGACTAGCATTTGTTCTTTCCATTTTTTTTTAAATGGCATAGCTGAAAGATTATAGGTTTTCTTACTATAAACATGAAAAGAAGCAGAACAATATCACACACTCTCAGATATACTGTAGGCTTATCTATGGCTTAATATTCCTTTACAACCCTGTGTTACTACAGGATGGAGCTATCTCGAAAGAAATCAGTCCTATGGAATTCACCCATGTAAGTCTACTATAAAAAGAACAAACAACACAGCACGGAAACAGCTAAATAAAGGAATGTTTGAGGGGATCACTTCAAGTGCTTTAAGAACATAGCATTTTATTGAGGAACACGTATAACTAATGCCATGCAAATTACTCTGAACTATGTTTTATGATATATTCCATGTAATTCAGTAGTTTTATGATATATTCCATGTAATTCAGTTTCCATAATGGATTGACTGTTTATTCCTTGAAATTAAAAAAATCTCATTATGAACCTGTGAACCATTCTGAGGAAAATACAAAAACAGAGTGACCCTTAATGTCCTTTTCCAAGTCTGAAGTTCTATGGAAACACTGGAGTTAGGAAATGACATATAAGTATTAATGACCAAAATGCTTGACATGATACTAAAAATGTCTAAGTGGTCTAATTCTGAATCCAATAAGATTCCAAGCTTTGATGGTTTTACCTTAAAACCCTTCCCTTCTGTGTATTCTTTTTGCTCCTCTCCCTATCACTGCCTATCCATCCTACACTTCTGATCAAGCTCCCATTTTAGGCAATGCTTTTTTGGGTTGAAATTTTGATATATAAAGACATGAAAATCATATCCTATGTAGGCACCACTGTATTAATACTTATACACTGTAAAATTACATGCAAAAAAGTGTAAGCTTAAATATAAATACAGATATTTAAGAACTGCTGGATTTAATAATGGCATTGAATTAATATTAATCCCTTCACTTGAACACAAGAGAACATATTTATTTGTAGAAACTACACCCTGAAGCATTTAGGGGTAAAGAATATCATTATCTGCAATGTACAATCAAATGAGTTAAACATATACAGAGAAAGAATATGATAACTGAGGGGGGAATGTGATAATAACTGGGGGAATGGTTAGGTGAAGGGCCCCTTTTTTTTTGTAGGTTGGAATTATTTCAAAGTAAAGTTTTAAAGGTGTGTCTGTCTGATGTGCAGGTACTTCTTCTTGCCTCCATTGGATGGCCTTGCACACCCTTTGGGTTGTATACTTCAATTTGGGATCAACTGGCCCAGACTATACAAATAATGTCAAAACTGCTCTCTAAGCCTCTTTTCATCCTCTTTTGGTCTAACCTCAACCCATCTGTTAGTGACCTTCCTAAAGTATAAATCAGATGATGTCATTTGCTTTTAAAATCCTCTGTGACTCCAAGTTGACAAGAGAACATAGAAACTTTTTAGATGATCACATGAGGCTTTTCATTGTTTTGTTCCATTTCTTCATTGACGATCTATGTTCCACCCAAAGGAACTACTCGTGTTCATAATTTTTATTGCAAATAGTGTTTCTTCTAACTGGAATGTTCTTCCTTTGTCTGCCTTTTCTACTCCTACTCAATCCTTGAGATTTAGCCTCAACATTTCATCCTCTATAGCCCCTGATAATCTTGCAATGAGCCACTTCTCCCATAGTAACTATTTTATCACATTCTAGTTATTTCCTGTAGAAGTCTGCCTCTAAATTCAGCTGCTAGAGACGAGTGATCAGACATACTCCTCTCAGTATCTGTTGCAACCTCATTGATCTGTGGTGGTTAGAACAGTGCCCGGCACATAACGATGAATGCCTGTAGGGAAAAATGAATGAATGACTGAACAGAAACCCACACTGAAACTGCTGTAGAGGGCTTTTCGTTTTCTGCCTGGTGGCAAATGCTACTTTACGAAAAGACCTGCTTAAGTGAGGAGATATTCTTTAGACAAGATCAAATATTCAGTGTCTGAGGATAAAATCCTTAATTTAAAATTAGTACAACTAGGGATGGAACTGGTTAAAAGAGCCAGGGTTTGGAATGATCCCACGAGTAACCCTCCAGCCCAGCAGCCCTGCCTGCCACATAGAGGAGGACTGGATTATGACCTTCATTTACACTGGGCTTTCACCAGTGGCAGCTGAATTAAAGTCCGAGATTTTCAGTTAATGGATGTTTGCAGTTGACTTTAGTAAGTCTTTATCGTTCAGAGACTTTTATTCCAATTTCATTTAAACTTTTTATAATTAGGAGTGAATATTTGAATTTTATTAAATTCCCATCTGGTGTTAAGTAGGAATTTTCTCCTCTAAGTTACCATGTATGTTAGATTGATTTATTGTCAATTTTGGACCATTCTTGAATTCCTATACTGTGCCTGCCATGGTCAAGACATTATTCTAATAGGAATGAATTATATCTGCTAATATTTCATCTGCTATGCTATATTTATCTTCATAAGACTAAGAGGTAACTATTGTTTACATGGAAATATAATTTACATGTAAATATAATGCAGAAAGACATGTGACTCTGTGTCAGAAATCATTCCAAACGGCATGGAGTCAAATTTACCACATAGGTTGAGTTTAGATATGGAAGTTCTAGCAGTTCTAACCAGTCAGGAATCCAGATAGCTAACATGTATTAAGTGCTTGTTTTGTGCCAGTTACTCTTTTAACTGCTTTATATGATTAACCCATTTACATCCTATTGCATTCCTATGAAACAGAACCTACTATCCCCTCTTGTTGTTGAGGAACTGAGCCCTAGGATGTAAAGAAGTCATGGTCACATGGGTGGTGAATGGTAAATGGTAGAGTCAAGGTTTGAACTCAGGCATTCTGGCTCCAGAGTCTCTGTTCTTCACCATTAAGCAGTATTCCCCAGCATGATACTGGGGGAGACACAAACCCCAGAAATTATTTGCTCGAAGGTAGAATCTGATGTAATCATTCTTTGTTTTTAAAAATATTTTATTTATTTATTTGACAGACAGAGATCACAAGTAGGCAGAGAGGCAGGCAGAGAGAGAGGAAGAAGCAGGCTCCCCATTGAGCAGAGAGCCCAGTGACCCAGGACCCTGGGATCATGACCTGAGCTGAAGGCAGAGGCTTTAACCCACTAAGCCACCCAGGATCCCTGATGTAATCATTGTTAATGATTATTTAAGCAATGTAGAATTTATAAGAGAAATACCATAGCTACATATCATCTATTAATATAGTTATATAGATTGGGGGAATGGCTGTATTTAAGTATATTAAAACTTAAATATTACAAAGTAACAATTTTCTTTCTTTTCTTTTCAGCAATCTTGACACAGAAGAACTATGTGGTAAGTTGTGGTATTTTGTTGGGAGGAGGGGGCAATCAAACTCACTACTTGCTTTAGGATGAAAAAGAATACCATCTTATTTAAATTTCTACATATCCTGAAATTAATGTCCTAGATTTAGAATATAGTAAAAGATAATTGAGATCTCAAGGGATTTATCTTCATCTGTGAGTTTTACTCAAGCGTGTATTTCACTGGAGAAAGAGTTGGGGCTCATTAATTTGTTCATGGAGAAGAACTTGGTACAAACTGCACTTGGTACAATTAGTTTAACAATAGGAAATTCTCCACTAGTTTGAATATATTTTTACATCAGTGTTTAATACAACTTCACTATTCTCTTCAATTATATTGCCTCTTTACTACTGTTTTTTAAAAATTGACCCCCTTGACATATAAAAACAACTTTGTTCCATATCTCCCTAAACAGTTCTGGAATGTTAAATTTCACTTGCAAAACAAGTTTTGCTGGAGAGAGGAACTTCTACAGATTCCTGACTTTCAGCATCTTCATTTATTTTCTTCATCCTCATGATTGGAAACAAAAGTCAAAGGCTAGGAATGTGGAAAAGACCAATATTTCTGAGATTTATTTTTTATGAGAAAATTATGAAGCATTGTGAGACTATTCAGTGTGAAAGAGCTATTTTTTCCAAACACTGAGGTTTTAAGTTTTGTGTTTTAAGGTAATTATATAAGCTAACACCTTGTCCAAATTGAATTTTATTGTCTAGGTTTTTAAAAAATAATTTAACAAATATGATTCTCTGAAACTCGTAATTGAAGTCATGAGAGCTTCCTGAAAATCTTATAATTCTTACAAATTTTAAGTTTATAAAATCATCACAAAGCCCATTTTACAATATTCAAGAGTGATTATCTTCCATTTCATTAAATAGTAGAGCAACACTGGGTAAGGTTATGTCAAGACAAAATATCAGAAGACAAGGTTTCAAGAAAATAACCCTGAACAACACAGATGATAATCAGCACAAGCTTTCCAATTTTCCAATGGTCGTAAAACAGTTTTCTCTTCCTTCATAGTGTCTCTCTCTCTCTCTCCATAGTGTCTCTCTTCAGTTGGAAGAATCCAACTGAAAAGTTGTTTATGCAGAAGCAAGCTATCTGATACCAAAGCAGTTCATGATTTTGTTAACTATGAAACACTAGTAAAGAAAAACAGGGAAAATCCTGACGTGGTTTACACATAATCCAACCATGACCCATCCACACACGGGTATTAAACTGTGTTAAGTGGACCAAAGGGCCCATGGGAACCATGGCCACCAGGCTCTCTATAGAATATCAATCACTGTAAAGGACAAGTTGTGATCCATTGTCATTCATGTGTATATGGTCCCTCTCAGGGAAGTGGGGAGATGAAGTGGAGAACTGAGAAGATTATCTTGATAATTTTGTGAGGTTAGGAGATCCATTTGCCTCAAGTGTCTAGATAGGGCAGGCCAAAGTAATGATTTCCTTAAGTCACCAAGATCATTCTTTTTGTTTTCTACTCAAATTTGCCTACATAGACATGTCTCATGAGAATAAGGGATTTTAGCATAAAACGTTTAGTGACTCTTCTTTTTGCCACTAAGGTTGCTATGTTGTTTATGTATTGTCATTAAGATGCGCATATTACATTATCCTCTCTTAGTATGATCCTGTATCTTCACTGAATCCTCTGCAAAAAAAAAAAATGTTCAATTTGCCTTCTATAATAACAGAACTAGATTAGGAACCTACTGTGCATTTACTGGAAAAAGCTTTGACAGTGATTTTCCCCATAATTAGGGGACTAGGATATGGGTTTTGGTTTTGTTTTTGTTTTTGTTTTTTAAAAGAGAGCATGCATGCAAGTTTGGGGAGGAGATGTGGAGCAGAGGAAGAGGGACAGGGACAGAGAGAGAATCCCCAGCAGCCTCCACTCCCAGCCAAAGCCTGATGTGGGGCTTGGTTTCAAGACTCTGAGATCATGACCTGAGCCGAAATCAAAAGTCAGACGTTTAACCGACTGACCCAGGCAACCCCTAGTATATGGGGTTTTAATGCAACCAAATTTCTCTTTATTTTTAAACCCAGTGATTGTACTCCCAATCATGTGTTATAATCCTCCCCCTCTCTGTTCAAGAACATGCATTTTAATTTCCAGAGTATAGTTTCATGTCTTGTTATTTTGTAAATACAAAGTAAATATTTAAGTTGGAGTCTAATCAAAACCAAATGCTTCAGTGCAAGTGAGTAAAATCTGTCGACTCACACCCCGCACAAATTCCCCCTTCTGCATGGGAGGGATGGCACTTAGATCAATATGGAAAGCAGATTTCATGTGCTCTTTCAAAGAAGGAGTTAAAAGGTCCAGGTATCTAAAAGTTTCATTCTGTTTATTACTTAGTGTGTTCATTTACTAAATGATAGACATAGAAATGAAAAACTATAAAGTATTGGTTTGTTTTAGTTATGAAAATAATACTTAGTTTTTAAGATTCAATAATACAGAATTACATGTGCATTTAAGATGGAATGTCAGTCTCCTTTTTCCCCTCCCTGCTTTTTCCCTATTCTCTGCTGCTTGGAACATCACCTTCCAGATATTTTTAGTCATAAGTTGACATCGATATATATGCCTTGATAATTTTTCCAACAGTGAGATCATGCTATATGATCAGTATAGCTGCACACTGTTCATTTTATTATAAAGGTTGCAAATGTGCTGCATTTACCTTCAGTTTTTTCAGTCACATCCCCTTTTGTGGATTTTCAGGGTTTTTTCCAACGTTTCCCTTAGACAAAGAGCACTGAAGTAAACATCCTCATTTGTATTATCTTTGTACTCTTGTATGAATAGTTCTATCTATATGGTAAATGCCTAGAGGTGTCATGACTTGGTCAAAGATTCGTCAGTCTGCATGCCCACCAGCAGTGCTGAGCCATTGCACATGCTTCACTCTTCCCATAATTGGGGAGGCCTGCCCAAATAGTAGCTGTAGGCCATATCTTACCAGTCAGTACATAACTCAATTACAACTAGGCATTTGTGTTTGAACTCTAGCTTTGAGTCTTTGGTTTTCTGTTCATTCCGTCTTCAGATGTGATCTAAAATCTATCAGGAGTAAAATTATTACTTTCCTGACCCTACCCAGGGCTAAAGGATAGAGGCTGCCCAAATGACCTTAGTGTGACCCCTGGGTAGTGCTGAGAGGTACCTGTGTCGGACAGGTTGAATGCTGGAAAATCAGAAGTCACTATTCCTCTTCCAGACTGTTAGAGCTGTGGCTTCCTGGCACATTTATAAAATGACCAAAAAAGAGGGGCACCTGGGAGGCCCAGTCCATTAAACATCTGAGTCTTAATCTCAACTCAGGACTTAACCTCAGAGTTGTGAGCTCTAACCCTGCATTGGGCTCCATGCTGGCTGTGGAGCCTACTTTAAAAAAAAAAAAAAAAATCGCCAAAAAAGAGCTGTAAAACATTTTGCACGACACTCCCCACCTCTCCATTCTCTTTGATTTCAGTATTTTCCTCCTGATCTAGTACACTGCTTGGGAAGCTATAGCAAGGTACATACTACAGGATTCTGAACTCATGAAGACTGCTTTGTGAGCTCAGTTCCCAGTGTGGCCTTGGTGGAGGGTATGGGGCTCTGGTTCTGATTTGAAATTCTTAGGCCAAACCTGAAAACACAATCACCTGGAGGATTAAGACGCAGACTAAGAAAATAAGACAAAACTTGGTGATGTGATGCCACCAGTTAGGTAGAGAAAGGAAGGGAGAAACTAACCATTGGTGAGCATATTATTAGTGAAAATGTTGCATTGAATTTCCATGAAATACTTTGCTTTCTGACAGCTTGTTGAATATGTCTGCTTATAAATCGTGCTCTATTCTCTTATAAAACAATGTTCAAACTCTTACCTTTCAAAGATTCTTCACTTAAACGGATGAGACTTCGTTGCCACACATTTCCATATGTGCTATACAATTCTGCTTTGCTCTTGACTATGGAACTCACACGCAGGTTTCAATAAAAGTAGATTCCTCCAGGAAATCATTCTAGTTCTTGGAGGATGGGAGTTTGGGGTTTTTTTTTTTTGTTTGTTTGTTTGTTTTGCTTTGTTTTGTTTTGTTTTAATCCCCAAAAAGAACTATGCAGCTCTTTTAATTTTGTCTTTTGATACTATAGCAAATCATATTGTAGTCTTTAGGAAAAAGTTCCCTACAAGCAAAAAATGTAAAAGGAATTCCACATATAATGGGTTATTTGGGGACTGTCCTGACAGAACATATATTCAGCATTTTAACTGTACTCTGTAGATATGGAGTTGAAAGGATAGATGTCACCCTGAGGGAGTGTCTCCATCTTCACTCCTGACCCATTGGGGCACATGGGAAGTGAAGCTCTGAGCCCAGGCCACAGAGGGAGGTTACATCTTGAGAATGAGGTATGTTCAGGGGTCCTGGGCCCTTTCTCTGGAAGGCCAGAGCTGTGCTGGCTCTTCTAGTCAGCCTCAGACCCTGAACTTATAAATAGGCTGTTAGATAAGAGAATGGAGCCAGAGTACAGAGGGCTGAAGGATAGAGGCTGCCTGAATGGCCTCAGTGTGACCTGAACAGCTGGAACCCACTTCAGATGCAGGCCTGAATGTGCCCCATGTGGGACAGTCGGTGTTTGAGAGTGATGGACAGTTTCCACATTTGGGTCACTTCATCACTAATTTCTGCTTCTCTGGAGCTCCTGTTCTGCATTATCAACCCCTAGTGCTCCCTCAGGCCGGCACACAGAGGTCCCCCCAGGCTGGAGCTCCCCTCCATGCCCAGAGTCTGTAAAGGCGGGCACCATTTCTGCTGCATAGCTGCCTTCAGCCCTCACAACCAGTCCCTAGACACGTGATTCTGCTGCTCTCACAGCTTCCTATTCTAATCCCCTCCATGTCCATCCCTGCCCTGACATAAATCCCTACCTCCTGTCTGGAATTTTTTTTTTTTTAAAGATTTTATTT